CTGTCCTATAGGCCATCAACAGTGGAGGGAGTAAGACATCCCAGTTATCTTGGTGGCTATTACACTGTCCCAGTGTCCAGTTGTACTTTTCTACCATTCCATCATACTGTGGGTGAAGTGACGTTGCCCTGGTCTTTCGGATGCCAAATAACTTGCAGTATTCTTGGAACACAGCTGATTCAAAGTTACGGCCTTGATCTGAATGCAGTTCATATGGCATACCAAATCTGAAGAAGAAGTCACTAATAGCCGAAGCTACAGTTGTAGCTTCCTGATTTGGTATTGCATATGCCTCCAGCCACTTGGTGAAATAATCCATCACCACTCAAATGTACTTGTTTCCAGCACGAGTTTGGGGCAGAGGACCAGCAATGTCGACGGCCACTCTTTCCATTGGTGCACCAACTTGATATAACTTCATTGGAGCACGTCCCTTATGCTTGGGTCCCCTTTTAGCACAACATGTACTGCTGGTCCTGCACTATTCTTCCACATCTTGCCTCATACCTATCCAGTAAAATCTGTGTCGTAGGTGACTCAATGTTTTCTTAACTCCGAGATGTCCTCCTGTTACAGTATCATGGGATTGACGCAGCACAACTTCTCGTAACTTTATTGGTATAACTGTTTGCCAGGTCGTCACTTTCCCATCTGCAGTTTCCCATCTCCGGAGAAGAATACCATCTTCAAGCCTCAACTGGTCCCATTGTACCCAATAGTGCTTTGTCACGGGGCTTAGACTAGACACCTTCTCCCAAGCAGGGCGCAAAACACTTGCTTTTAGGAAATCAATCACTGGCTTCAAATCTTGGTCTTTCTTCTGTTCTGCCTTGATATCTATATTTGGTTCCACTTCACCATCATCAACTCTTTCAGTCTGCTTGACTTCAGCTTGATGACACCTAATTAGTTCAACCTTTCTCTTAACAGTTTCCGGAACGTGGCCTTTGTTATTCCCAAACGTCATTTTATCAAAATCAATTACAAACTTCCTTGGTAGTAGATAGTCCAATCCTAATATGCATTCATCTTCCATGTCAGCCAAGTACACTTTCTGTCTGTCCTTTATGCCCATGAGCTCGATAGTTACCCACACTGGTCCCCACAACCTTGCAGAATGTCCTGTCACACCACAGAGCTTCTTTACAGCTTCTGGTACTCCTTTGTTATCCAGCACCTTGATGCTCACAAAGGTTTGCTGAGATGCAGAATCAATGACAAAGTTGCACCTTTGGCCATCCAGCTTCCCTGTCACGTAGATACTATGTGTGCTTGCCATTTTACACTTAGCTGTTGGGACTTTCACGATGAAGGTTGGTGGGCGTCCCTTAGCACCAACCACTACTGGTTTCCCGGAGCTGACTTATTGGTGGTATTTTTCTTACACTGGCTCCTCAGATGTCCTTGCTCTCCACAGTTCCAACAGCCTTTCTTGGTAGCAGCCTTTATTGCTGTATCATCTCCCCTGTGTTGAAGTTGCCAGCATTGAGCTCTCTTGTGCCCAGGTTTGTTACAGTGCCAGCAAAGTCCCTCAAACTTCTCTGAAAGCTGACCTTTTCTGGCCTTGAATCCAGATGACTGTACCAACCTTGGTACCTCTGTGCTGGACATAACGTAGGATTCAAATTCGAGAGCTCTGGCCATTGCATCCTACATGGTAGAAGGGTGTGCTTGCTTCACTTGTATCTTTAGTTGTGGACTGTCCAAAGCATCTACAAACTGATCTCCCAGTAACAACTTGAGGAGATCATGTGGTGCAGTTGGATAGGCCTTAT